TTTTGGAAGTTGTTTTACTGAACTTCCTAATTACCCAGGTAACATTATTTCCCTGCTCAGATCTTCGATAGGGTTGAAGATTATATAAATGTAGTTACTTTTCTCTTACGACTTGGCCAAGTTATTTATTATACAAGACCTAAGCTAGTTAGAATAGGATATTTGTACTTATTGTATATAATTTCGTAGTAGGTTTAGAACTCTCTTACTTAAACAAAAGGGGGAGGTGTTGCGGGAGGTCCTTCCGCCCCTCCATCCAATAGCTGCTGAGATACCAGCCCATTGGGGCGTGGTTTCTCTCCCTTTAAAAAAAACGGCTACTTCCTCTGCTCACTCTCTTCACTTCCTGGCCGCCAGAGACTAGACTCTCTTCCTGGTTTTGCAGATGGCTGTTGTATGGGTTGGTGATCTGTAAGCTTTTTCCCCTTTAAATAAATAACACCCTATTAATCATAACTCCAAACTGGTGTTGCATTGTTCGTGGCTTATGCCTTCAGCAGCCCAGTATGAGGAATAGGTCCCCAGGAGCCAGCCAAAGTGTTAGGATCAGCCCCTGCTCCCATTGTTAGGAGTCCCACAAGTAGACCAAGCTACACAGCTGTCAATAGATGTAGAGAGTCTTGGTCAGTTCCATGTGGGGTCTCTGGTTGTTGGCTGAGACTCTAGGTTCCTATGAGCCAGGTGAGTTGATTCTGTGGATTTTCCTGTGGTGTCCTTGTCCCCTCTGGTTCCTTTAATCCTTTCTCCCTCTCTTCAGCAGGATTCTCCTAGCTTGGACTAATGTTGGACTGTGGGGCTTCATTTTCCATTTGTTACTAGATGAAGGCACTCTGATGATAATTGGGCTAGTCACCAGTTTGATCACAGGAGATGGCCAGTTCAGGCTAGGAGTCTTAGTTGGGGTCATCCTTGTAAATTTGTGGAAGTTTCCCTTTATTAGGTTTCTTCCTGATCCCAAATGCCCTTCCCTTTTTTAGTCATCCCTCCCTCATCCACTTCCCACCCCAGTCCCTCAGGTTTCCATCCCCACCTACTTCAAATCCACTTGGGAAATTTCTTCTATTTCTCCTTCCCAGGAAGATTCATGTGTGCAGTGATGTTTTGTTTATGTTTTGACAAATAAAGCTTGCCTGAAGATCATAGTGCAGAGCTAAGCCACTAGAGGCCAGAGAGTGGTGGCACACACACCTTTAATCCCAGGACTTGGGAGACAGAGACAGACAGATCTCTGTTAGTTCAAGGCCACCATGGTTACATAAGATTGAATCTGTCTAAAAGAGAAACAGCTCACAAAAAGGTAACCCCAGAACTTAGGATCACAAGCCTTTAATCCCAGCACTAGGGAGATGGAGATAGAAGTGACATGGCTGGGGGGAGAGAGGAATATAAGGCAGAAGGAGACAGTAGGCAGGGCAGTCTGAGGTTTGGTGGAGATAACTGCAGTCTGACAAGGCAATATGAGGACAGGATTGCCCCTTCAGTTTGAGCATTGTAGAAGTAAAAGAAATCATTGTGGTTGGCCACTCTGCTTCTTTGATTTTCAACATTAACCCCTATATATGCCTCTAGGTTTTTATTAACAATACCAATTAGAATTTGTCCCATTCATGAATTCTTCCCTTGGTCCCTCCTTGTTACCTAACCTCTCTGGGGCTGCAGATTGTAGCATGATTGTCTTTTACTTTATAGGTAATATCCACTTATGAGTGAGTTCATACCATGTTTGCCTTTCTGGGTTTGGGTTACCTCACTCAGGATTGTTTATTTCTAGTTCCATCCATTTGTCTTCAAATTTCCTGATGTCATTGTTTTTAACAGCTGACTAATATGCCATTGCTTACATGTACCACATTTTCTTTATCCACTTCTTGGTGGAGGGACATCTAAGTTATTTCTAGGTTTTGGCTATAATAAATAATGCTGTTATGGACATAGTTGAATAAATGTCCTTTTGGTATGATTGAGCATCTTTTGGGTGTTGCTGGGTCTTGAGGAACTGTCACACTGATTTCCAGAGTGGCTGTCTAAGTTTGCACTCCCACTCCCCATCCTCTCCTGCATACGCTGTCGTCAGTGCTTTCTGTCTTAGCCATTCTCATAGGCATAAGATAAAATCTTAGAGATTTGAATTTCTTTCATGACTAAGGATACTAAATATCTTCTTAAGTGTTTCTCTGCCATTTGAGATTTTTCTGTTGAGAACTCTCTGTTTATCTGTATCCCATTTTTTAATTGGATTCTTTGTTTTTGTGATGTGTAATTTCTTGAGTTCTTTATATATATAAGAGATCAGCCCTCTGTCTGATGTGTGGTTGGTGAAGGTTTTTTCCTTTCCTGTAGGCTTCTGATTTGTCCTATTGACGCCACTGAAATTTTTCTACCACTTTCTACCTCATGTTTTGAGACAGTATCTCTCACTGATTCCAGAGATCACAGATGGGCTAGCCTGAGACATTGTCCCTCTCACTGGTTCCAGAGCTCACAGATGGGCTAGCATGAGACATTGTCTCTCTCACTGGTTCCAGTGCTCACAGATGGGCTAGCCTGAGACAGTATTTCTCAATGATTCTAGAGCTCACAGATGGGCTAGCCTGAGATATTGTCTCTCTCACTGGTTCCAGAGCTCACAGATGGGCTAGCCTGAGATATTGTCTCTCTCACTGGTTCCAGAGCTCACAGATGGGCTAGCCNTGGAAGTTGTTTTACTGAACTTCCTAATTACCCAGGTAACATTATTTCCCTGCTCAGATCTTCGATAGGGTTGAAGATTATATAAATGTAGTTACTTTTCTCTTACGACTTGGCCAAGTTATTTATTATACAAGACCTAAGCTAGTTAGAATAGGATATTTGTACTTATTGTATATAATTTCGTAGTAGGTTTAGAACTCTCTTACTTAAACAAAAGGGGGAGGTGTTGCGGGAGGTCCTTCCGCCCCTCCATCCAATAGCTGCTGAGATACCAGCCCATTGGGGCGTGGTTTCTCTCCCTTTAAAAAAAACGGCTACTTCCTCTGCTCACTCTCTTCACTTCCTGGCCGCCAGAGACTAGACTCTCTTCCTGGTTTTGCAGATGGCTGTTGTATGGGTTGGTGATCTGTAAGCTTTTTCCCCTTTAAATAAATAACACCCTATTAATCATAACTCCAAACTGGTGTTGCATTGTTCGTGGCTTATGCCTTCAGCAGCCCAGTATGAGGAATAGGTCCCCAGGAGCCAGCCAAAGTGTTAGGATCAGCCCCTGCTCCCATTGTTAGGAGTCCCACAAGTAGACCAAGCTACACAGCTGTCAATAGATGTAGAGAGTCTTGGTCAGTTCCATGTGGGGTCTCTGGTTGTTGGCTGAGACTCTAGGTTCCTATGAGCCAGGTGAGTTGATTCTGTGGATTTTCCTGTGGTGTCCTTGTCCCCTCTGGTTCCTATAATCCTTTCTCCCTCTCTTCAGCAGGATTCTCCTAGCTTGGACTAATGTTGGACTGTGGGGCTTCATTTTCCATTTGTTACTAGATGAAGGCACTCTGATGATAATTGGGCTAGTCACCAGTTTGATCACAGGAGATGGCCAGTTCAGGCTAGGAGTCTTAGTTGGGGTCATCCTTGTAAATTTGTGGAAGTTTCCCTTTATTAGGTTTCTTCCTGATCCCAAATGCCCTTCCCTTTTTTAGTCATCCCTCCCTCATCCACTTCCCACCCCAGTCCCTCAGGTTTCCATCCCCACCTACTTCAAATCCACTTGGGAAATTTCTTCTATTTCTCCTTCCCAGGAAGATTCATGTGTGCAGTGATGTTTTGTTTATGTTTTGACAAATAAAGCTTGCCTGAAGATCATAGTGCAGAGCTAAGCCACTAGAGGCCAGAGAGTGGTGGCACACACACCTTTAATCCCAGGACTTGGGAGACAGAGACAGACAGATCTCTGTTAGTTCAAGGCCACCATGGTTACATAAGATTGAATCTGTCTAAAAGAGAAACAGCTCACAAAAAGGTAACCCCAGAACTTAGGATCACAAGCCTTTAATCCCAGCACTAGGGAGATGGAGATAGAAGTGACATGGCTGGGGGGAGAGAGGAATATAAGGCAGAAGGAGACAGTAGGCAGGGCAGTCTGAGGTTTGGTGGAGATAACTGCAGTCTGACAAGGCAATATGAGGACAGGATTGCCCCTTCAGTTTGAGCATTGTAGAAGTAAAAGAAATCATTGTGGTTGGCCACTCTGCTTCTTTGATTTTCAACATTAACCCCTATATATGCCTCTAGGTTTTTATTAACAATACCAATTAGAATTTGTCCCATGCATGAATTCTTCCCTTGGTCCCTCCTTGTTACCTAACCTCTCTGGGGCTGCAGATTGTAGCATGATTGTCTTTTACTTTATAGGTAATATCCACTTATGAGTGAGTACATACCATGTTTGCCTTTCTGGGTTTGGGTTACCTCACTCAGGATTGTTTATTTCTAGTTCCATCCATTTGTCTTCAAATTTCCTGATGTCATTGTTTTTAACAGCTGACTAATATGCCATTGCTTACATGTACCACATTTTCTTTATCCACTTCTTGGTGGAGGGACATCTAAGTTATTTCTAGGTTTTGGCTATAATAAATAATGCTGTTATGGACATAGTTGAATAAATGTCCTTTTGGTATGATTGAGCATCTTTTGGGTGTTGCTGGGTCTTGAGGAACTGTCACACTGATTTCCAGAGTGGCTGTCTAAGTTTGCACTCCCACTCCCCATCCTCTCCTGCATACGCTGTCGTCAGTGCTTTCTGTCTTAGCCATTCTCATAGGCATAAGATAAAATCTTAGAGATTTGAATTTCTTTCATGACTAAGGATACTAAATATCTTCTTAAGTGTTTCTCTGCCATTTGAGATTTTTCTGTTGAGAACTCTCTGTTTATCTGTATCCCATTTTTTAATTGGATTCTTTGTTTTTGTGATGTGTAATTTCTTGAGTTCTTTATATATATAAGAGATCAGCCCTCTGTCTGATGTGTGGTTGGTGAAGGTTTTTTCCTTTCCTGTAGGCTTCTGATTTGTCCTATTGACGCCACTGAAATTTTTCTACCACTTTCTACCTCATGTTTTGAGACAGTATCTCTCACTGATTCCAGAGATCACAGATGGGCTAGCCTGAGACATTGTCCCTCTCACTGGTTCCAGAGCTCACAGATGGGCTAGCATGAGACATTTTCTCTCTCACTGGTTCCAGTGCTCACAGATGGGCTAGCCTGAGACAGTATTTCTCAATGATTCTAGAGCTCACAGATGGGCTAGCCTGAGATATTGTCTCTCTCACTGGTTCCAGAGCTCACAGATGGGCTAGCCTGAGATATTGTCTCTCTCACTGGTTCCAGAGCTCACAGATGGGCTAGCCCAAGACAGTGTTTCTCAATGATTCCAGAGCTCACAGATGGGCTAGCCTGAGATATTGTCTCTCTCACTGGTTCCAGAGCTCACAGATGGGCTAGCCTGACTTGGTCTATACAGAACACTCTCTCCCACTCTCTTTTGTGATCTCTCGATTAGAGACCTTTGGCCATTTGTTTTCTAGATGCACCCACCACAAACTCAGTGGGAGGGTAAAGCCCAGCCCCCTCCCCCATGTGCACACACTGTCCCACACCACAGAGAGACTGCAGCCCCAGCCCTTCAGCTGTTCTTATTAAAGAGCAATTCTTCTCCTGCAGATGCTTGTCTGCTTTTCTTTATTTCCACGCCACCTCCATCCTGATCTAATTGGAACAGCCAATTAGGCATTATTAATGTTTAAAGCAATAGCTGACTATCCAAAAAGTAGAACTTAGTCCAATGAGAAAAACATAAGAAATTAAAATTTAGTCATAGGTTTTTAATGTCAGTGAAATGATATTAAGAACAATTTAATACTTAAGAAAAAATTGCTGTATAAAATGAATCATTAATTTTCTCTTAGCATATTAAATTAACCTTAAAAATTTTATAGTCTTTATTTTTTCATGTAGTTATAATCGTATTCATTTAAAAATAATTTAAAAACCTGTTTACATCTTAAATATTATTATTACAAAATTTGGAAAACCATTTTAATGAGGTCAATTTAAACGGAAGGTTAGGAGGCTGTATCTAAAATAAGGAAGTGTCCTATCTTAGATATCTGATAATCATATCACAGGTAAAGCACATTAATAGTTCAGGTTTCAGGAGACACTTTCCATGGTTATTGTCAGCGGTCCCTTTTCGTCAGTGGCAGAATAAAGCATCTGGAGTGGGAGAGTTCGGAATGTGTGACTTCACTATAATTCTTAACTAAAACACAGAGGTGAATAATTTGTAAAACTCTATCATTATTTTGTAACACATGAAAATGGTTCATAAACCCTAAGATTTCTATATAAGCCTCAAAATAGGTTTTTAGAATGACTGCTTAAAAAAATACTAGGGTTTCTCTTGCCTAGGCCTGCCTAAAATAAGAATCGTGAATATCTTGATTGTTTCTTTTTAAAGACACTGTAGATGTAAAAAAAAAAAAAAAAANTAAAATGTTCATATTCAAAAATATACTTTCATATAAACTATATATATACATACATATGTATGTATATATGTATGTATGTGTATATATATGTGTGTGTGTCTAATAGAAAAAACAACATATTCCAGAGTGGGGGCAATGTTTCTTGGAGTCAGTCAGCAGCCCTGAGCCATAGGGACCATGTAGTAGACACAGAATTAGGATAAGGGTCAAGGAGAGAACAACTTGAGCAGAACTGTAAGGTTACATACATCTATCTTGTCCTTAAAGTCAGGCTTAAAAAAGTTTAGATTTAAAAACTCATGTTAATTGTCCCAAAGAAAGCTTGGATATCTTTAGGTGTCTCTATTTGTTTACTTATGTGGCTGCATTGATTAAATCTACCCTTTTACTGTTATTTTCTTATTTGTTTCTTAAAAGCTTTAGTATACTATGAGCCGGTTTTGCTTGCCAGGTCACCTCACCAAATAAATTTTAAATCAACTTTCTCTCCTATACTGCTTTCCATGTGACTAAAACTTCTGTTTTCACAAACCCAAGGAGTTCTCGTGAGTTCCAGGGAGCCGAATTAAGAAAACCATCTTAAACAGGTCAGATACCCCCTCAATTCCCTGGTCTAAAAATTTTTTTCCCTTAATTTAACTTTTTTGTTTGTTCTGCTAATACTTTAGGGACACTAGACATTCCCATGCCATAGACACTGGTCAAAAGCAAAGAGACCAGTCATGCCAGGATGTGACCAACACCCAGCCTTCTCTTGTGCCCCCCCAAAGACGACGCCCACAGGTCAGCATGAAGCAGTCTTGAGAATTCGTCGCCCCAATTCCATTAAACTGGTGTCTAATCTCCTGCTTTTTATTATAAGGAAGACCTGAGAATGTTATGGTTTCCTGTTTCTTTAAGAGACAAGCCATGCCCACTCCCGCTTCCTCTGACCTTTCATAGCCATCTGGTCTCTCTTCTTCTTGGTCTTCTTCGACAGGAAACAAGGATGCAAGACACAACAAAACCCACGTGGAGCGCGAGGTTTATTGCAGCGTGCGGGAGAGAAGGGGAAAAGAGAGCAAACAGACGGCTTTCCAGCTTTTTAAAGTGTTCCCCATGTGCGTCAAATGCCACGTTCTGCACCTGTGCAGCCTTTGTGTGGAACACTAGGGGCTCCTGGGAAATGTAGTTCCCCAGGTGTGCTACGCTCAGGGGCTTTCTGGGGAATAACAGATTTAGTCAATGGTTTTTGTGTACATGAGCATTTACCTATAAGCTACTTTGATAATAATAATTAAATACTTTATCAAGAAACTCCCAAAACCATAATCACCATGTAGACCTATGTCTTACACACACACACACACACACACACACACACATGCGCATATATATAAGTATAAAATATATTTTAATAATATTGAACATCATTGTTTAAATCATATTTTCTATAGCCTCATTGTAAAAACTAAACTTATTATAGAGATCTTCAGTAAATATCTATATCTATTTATTTATATATAGTCCAATCTTAATGAATAGTTTTATATTAAAACAATCTTGAAGAAATCATATTAATTTTGTTATTCATTCTACAGTAAATAACAATGTATATAAGTACACATATTTAAAATCTGTTTGGAAGGAGACATTGCAAGGTGAATCCACATTCTATATATAAATGTGTAGATTGTTTTAAGAGCAAAAGCATATTTTAACAAATATTGCACAGAGGACTACTTGTTTTTATTTTTAAAATCTATTTTTATTATTACGGTGTGTGCAGATGCATGCATGAGTGCAAGTGCATGTAAGCGTCATGTTGTAAGCTTCACATCGTAAGCATCACATCGTAAGTGTCACATCGTAAGCGTGATGTTGTAAGCTTCCTGGTGCCTCTCTCTTACTCTGCATGAGGTCAAGGAGACTGATAAGCCTGGCAGCTCATGCTGAACAATGTTGCCAAAACTCTGCAGAGCTTCCATGTTGGGATCACATACAGTCGAGGAGAACATGGAGAGGCTGCTGAAGTCCAGTGAGAAGCAATATAGAAAAGAGAAGCCAAAATCTAAAAAGAAGGAAGTCTAAGCAACAGAGGGAATGGAAGAAACTTCCCCTCAAAGCTAACACCGTTAAGAAGAAAGAGCTTTCTGGAGATGTTGAACATGTAGAGCCTCCTCAATCCAAGGAGGCCACAAAGCAAGAGGAGGCCCATCAGTATGGCACACGGCTTCACGCAGCACTTCCAAGAAGAAAGAAGGAGCACCCCGAGGGAAAAAAAAGTGGTCTTTGTTAAAATCAAAGAAATAAAAATTGAGAAGCCTTCTGAAGAAAACACCAGTGTTATAAAGCCTAAGATGAAGGAAGGGAAGGAATGGAATGCAGAAATTGACGAAATCCCAAGGCTCATTCTTAATCAGACCGAAACTCCAATGAAACTGCTTCTGGAAAAAGCAGACATGAGACAGAGCAGAAACCTTGGGGGACAAAAAGAAGGGACTTTCTCAACTCCATATATGAGGAGACTCAGGCTTCTCTGAGATGACGGGGTGGACTTCTGTTTCCTAAGCAAACAAAGACATCCCACCATGTATCAAGGGCAAAAGACCTGAACAGGAAAGGGGTAGACATTCTCCCTTGCATTGAGAAGCTTTAGGACAGTTTATAAGAGAGGAAGAGAGAGAACTGGCAAACTAAGTAAGCAGACATGACAAAAACAAAGGTATCAGTGGCTTGTTTTAATGGTGTGCCTATTCAAATGGTAGTCAAATAAAATGAATATATAATGGGGTTGTCTATGTTTGAACCCCCGGGTGGATTGAAGAATTTTACACTTACAGAATGGTAGGCTAGAACTCACCAAACTTAAACATGTCTTGCAAGAAGTAAGCCAGATGTTTGCTGATCAAATGGAAGAGACTTTAAGTGTGGCATACAAGAAGGATTCAGAAGACAAGCCCAAACATTGCTTTTCATAGCAATTTGTTTTATTGGGTGTTTGCCTTAGTTAGGGTTTCTATTGCTGTGAAGAGACAACATGATTGTGGCAACCCTTGCAAAGTAAAACATTTAATTGGGGCTGGCTTATGACTTCAGGGGTGTAGTCCATTATCACATGGTGGGACATGGTGGCATGCAGGCACATGTGGTGCTGGAGAAGGAGCTGAGAGTTCTACATCTTGTTCTGTAGACAATAGGAAGTGAACTCTGTGTCACCATCTATGTAGCTTGAAGCACAGAAGACCACAAAGCCAGCTCCCACAGTGACACTTCCTCCAACAAGGCCACACCTCCTCATAGTGCCACTCCCTATGAGGGCCATTTTCTTTTAACACTATAGTGTTTAAACACCACAGGGTTCAATTTGAAGAAATAGATGAAATATAACAAGTGAATCATGGTTAAAAAAAAAAAAAAGACTCAGAAAACAACCATAACCACGGAGCACCTGGTTATTGTCACTGGACAGAGAGGGAAGCAGCCATTGGGGATGTGATACCAGTGTCCTCTCTGAAGCCAAAATAGAAGCCCAGCAACTGTGGCAGAGGACATGTGTAAAGGGGCCAGTCATTACATGGTCACATCCCACAGAAGCAAAGGGAAATAACCCTGAAAGTCTCTCACTGTGGCAGTTTCGTGGTTTTGGTGGCAACCAACATTGCTACGTGTGGGTTAGACATCCCTGAGATTGACCTGGCTATGCAGAGCTGTCCAACCCCTGCATCCATCCATCAGGTGGACAGGCAGAACTGAAAGGGTAGGGGTTTGCACCTGATTTTATCAGCGCAAGGAAGAGGATCAGTCAGCACAAGTGGACCAGAGAGCGGACATTGAACATGAATGAGTAGGTGTTCCTTCTGCAGCAGATATAATAGGAGCTTCTAGCACAGAGTAGTGGTAGCGGGCTTTTGGATTCTACACCTCCTACTGCCATCGGCCTTTTCAAGCAGTCAGCTGAGAAGATGATCACAAAGAAGGGCGTCGTGGAGACCCTGGCAACAGTGCTGGCACACATCTCAGGGGCCACATTGATCAACCAGCATTGATAAGCTCACAGCAGGACTTGGTGACCACAACCCCACAAGTCTCAATTGAAATGTCAATGTTAGTTATTTTTGGCCAAAACTTAAGGAGACACTGGATGAAAGAAGGGAACGGTTTCCTTAAAGGAAAGTTGGGAGTCTGTTTTGATGTCCACCATTGAAGCAGTCATAGAAATATAGAAGTGGCTCAATGGTGGCAGCCTGCTGTGACCACAGAGCAGCAGAGCTGAAGGGCCCAGGAAGGATATCTAGATGGCACGGTCAGTGGGAAAGAGGCATGGTGCCTGCAGAGGGCAGCAGAGGAGAAGCAGAGACTTCAGGAGTAAGGGATCTCCTAACACAGGCCAGAAGCAAAGCTTTAGTGAAGCCTTTGGGCAATGTAATGATTCATGTGAGATGGTTATTGACAGCCACGTTAATTAAGTCCATTAAGAGTTTATGTCCCTTTTATTGATGGTCAGACCAAAAGCAGCTTGAGCCCATGCTCAGGGGCACAGCATTTTAAAGGCAAAACCCACAAAGATACATCAGAGTTAATGAGTGTCAGAGTAACCTTGAAATGGTTATTCCTGGAAGAGCATAGTAATTATTTTAGACATAAGTTGCCAATTATTTTGATTGATGCATCTGGACCGTAGTCAAGACAATGGAAGTCTCAAATGGGTTGCCAAGTAGATGTGACCACCGTGGGAGGTGGGTAGAGGGCTGAGAGTTGTCTAACATGGGGTTCAGAAGAGGCTGGTGTTATATTAGTCTTTTCAGCAAGAAGGAACCATTCACACCGTTAAACTGCACCGATTCTTTTTTGATCACTTGCTTTAGAGCGAAAGCATTCCTTTAGAGAGAAACAGGCTTTAGAGAGAAACATTCCTTTAGAGAGAAACAGGCATCCAAACTTCTGGGTTTGTTTATTGCCAATTGGTTTCATTTTTAAAAGAAATAGGAATTCATTACATCTTTATTCCAATATATTATCTACA